CCATCACATTTAATTGCTCTGTGTTCATAGCGAAGTTCAGGGTGGTCCCCTTTTGAAGTTCATGAACACACTTCAGAAGCAGCATCAAAGAAGAAACTGGGAGACCTCTGCTCTGTTGTTACTAATGTGCCATGCCCCGTTTCATTTATATGAATATATTCTGCAGTCCTGGCATACAGAAAATTTGCCTTGATATGAGCTGTGCCTTCTGTTGTGCAGACAAATGAAAAATAAAATAAAAAGAGAAATACTTTGGGAATCTGTTCTCCGTATGTGTCTTTGTGTGTAGAGATATTATACAGTCATTCATTTTCTATGATGCCCACCATGTTTCTGCTGAGTCTTGAAGGCATGCTAAGCTGATTTTGCAGCAGCCACCAGCAGGAAGACTGGTACAATCTCTGTGTGATTCATGGATATCATTATTGATGGTGGCATCACAAATCAGAACAAGGGATGAAACCAGTTTCCTTAGTTCAGAAAAGATGTGATTCTAAGCAGAACACATAACACTCCAGAAGTCTGGTCCTACTTTGTAATCTTAGAAAACATCGTACTTAGGAGAATTTCTCATAAAGCTAATTTTAAGAGCTTGCTGGAGTTCAATACAACACCACTATCACCCATAAGAGAAGATTACCATACTATTGTATAAACCTGGGATGACCAAAGAACTGTTTCTGGATTGCAAACTGCAGCCCAAGCCAGCTCAGCCACTGCTCAGGAATGCTGGGAGTTGCAGTTCAACAACATCCAGAGGATCACACTTTCCCCACCCCTGTTCCAAAGACTGCTTAGATCCAAGGTCCTTCCGAGGGACAGGCTTCTGATCGGCGTATTTCCAAGATTAAATTCTTATGTTTCGCAGGCTTGAATCTCATTCTTATGTTTCAGGTCTTTGCCAAAAGCCAATTCAGGAGAAATTATCACCCCACAGAACATTTAAAAAATACTTTATCAAAAATAGCTCATCATTTAGGTTTGCATAAATACAAACCATACGGGCTGTTTTAATTACACTGGTGTTCCACTTCTTAACTAATTCTGGAAGAAAAAAAAACATTTGCAGATAGCAACGTGAGGTGCCAACTTTCCTCAAACACAAGGATAAGCAAAGCACAGCCCTCCAGATGGTGCCAGGCTGCAAGATCCCTCTGCCGTATCTGGCATAGGCAACAATGAGGAATGGTGGAAGCTGTAAGCCAACAGCATCCAAGGGCGACACATGGCCCACCACTGCAAAAAGAGGTTGCTTCATTGCTAGATTTGTGTCCCAGTGGTTTTGCTTTCCCTCACTCACACTAGCCATAACAAGTGGAGTGTTCATATAATCTCACAGAAAGTGGAAAAAGAAGTAACTAGAAAGACCAGGCAGCAGATATGGCAGCTGAACAAGTGCCCTGTTGCATTGTTACCGGAAGTAAGAAGTAACGTTAGATTCTCTAGACTGCAGTCTGACAATTATATTGTTGGATGCTGGAACCTGAAGCCATGGCTGACAATTTGAAAACAGATATACAACAGGCTTGGGGAAAAGAAGGAAGTTCACTCCTAGGGTGGAATGACTGGTTGCTTAATATTGCCCACCCAGAAAGCTAATTATTTCCCAGTGGGGGAACCTACTAGAGGAAAGGAACCTGTTGTGAAAGCAGAATTGACATAAACGGGGGAGGCCATAATCTATCCTTGCAAGCATCACTTTTTCCTAATTGGCATAGAATCCTTCAGACAGGATTCCTCTTTCATTCAAAGATCCATGGATGCAAGGATTTCTAGGCAAAACAAACATTCAAAAAGACATCCTCTCTACTTCATTCTGGAAATCAGGAATCTCTCAAGGTATGACGTTTTTGTGTCACACGGGGAAGCAGTGCTGATATACCTTGATGTTGATTGGCATTCGAGTAAGACACTGAACTTCTAGAACGTCACTTTCCTGTGCTGTTTGGTTTATTCTAGCTTTAGATCTAAAGTAATTTAAAAAGTATTAAGCAGAGGTAGTCCCAAGAAGAAGAAATGAGGATGAGAATGGAAGATATTAATTGGGATATGCAGGTGCGACACAGGAACACACCACTGAAATGAGGCATATGTGTGCACATGCACACACATACACAAATACACACACACACACACAAACACAAACAACTAAATGTCTATTGATATTGGTATGGGCTTGCAAAGAATGAGAGACAATAGAAGAAAGTCCTGTTCTGAAACCCAGGCAAGCCATTTAATGGGCTAGCCCTGACCAAGGAGGGTCAGGAGACGTAGCAAGCATAGCCTTCACAAAATCTGGTGGTGACTGACTGGAGACAGTTGGGGGTCTAGAGCACATCGGTGGCAGTATTGCACCAGCTTTTCCTGCTCACAGTATATAACACTTGTTGACACAGAAGGCCCCAGTCACTCACCTGTAATGGTGCCTGACTTGAAAGGTGGGGGGGCATTACTTTGTTAGCAGGTAAGCTGTCTGAACCCCTCCAGAAGCCAGAATCAATACAGATACTTTGCATTTTAGTCTGTGAGCTACAGATTAAATTCAGGTTGCTTCTGAAGAAAGCAACTGTTCCTCACAGAATATAACTTGATTCTGAACTATCCAGGCTGAAAATATATTATGCAGAGCTGAATACATCCTTCTTTCCTAAACAGCAAAGAACAAAACAGTGGGTTTTGTGCTGGAATGCCAATAGCATTCCTCCTTGTGCACAATCAAAGCTCACTTGGTGTTGATCCTGGTATCAGCTTCCCATTAACTCCTGTCACATTTCAGAATGACTGGCAAAGCATGCTCTTTGCAATCACCTTTCTCTGGTGTTATTTTTGCTTCCATGTTTCCTCCTCAACTACAGTCTGGGCTTTCATTTAATTTTTAAATCACAGGCACACCAAATCTTTCTTGTCAAGGACTACATCATGTTACATTTTTAAAAAAATGTTTTAGCTTGAATTCATACCAGATTGTGGCTGCTTATTATCTCCCTCTGTGTAATCTATACACTGGAAACTTATTCATCATCACGAGTAGCTACAAATTTGCAATGACATTACTGCACTCTTGCAATACTATGACAAAAGAGCTACAGTGGGGTCTTGACTTAAGAACGGCTCGAGTTAAGAACATTTTGACTTAAGAACCACTCTCATAGGAAAATATTGACTTGACTTAAGTACTTAGATTTGAGTTAAGAACTGAAAAAAACCAACATGGGAGGCAGGGAAAGTGCAAAACTTGAACTTTCAGTTAACTGTTGGCCAGTGAAAAGGGGGCCTGTCTGCTTCCTCACTCCTCCCAGCGTTTAGAGAGAGGATTGGGAGACAGTCTTCGGACTGCCTGGTACTGGACTGCCTGGACTGTATTTTCCCTGCCTTCCCTGAACCTTTCTTGACCTAAGAAAAAAAGAAACAAAATATCCCTCTCTAGTGGTCGAAGGCGGAATAGCAGCTTCCCATTAGTTTCTATGGATGGAAAAGAGCAGATATGGATCAAATGGTTTTCAATGCATTCCTATGGGAAATGCAGATTTGACCTGAGAACTTTTTGACTTGAGAACCGCCTTCCAATACGGATTAAGTTCTCAAGTCAAGACCCCACTGTAGCTAGCTTTGCAGCTCTTAGTCAGGCCAACTTCTCTGTGACGACCATCAACACAGGGGATTGGCTTTACATGTCGCTACAGTGAATCCACAAGGAGATATCCTGCAGTGTTGAGTCTTTGTATCTCCACCCTAATTTCCTCTCATCTTATTCAGCATACTTTGCTTCTTCCTTTCCTTCCTTAGAGTAAGTAGACACCAGGTGAAGAAGCTCTGACAGTGTTCTGGCTGGCCAAATTTAGAGGTCAGAAAACCAGGCCAAAGCCGGTCTGCATTACTAGGTCTGAGACATATGGCAAGTATTTTCTTAGGCTTCAGCTTTAAAGGCTGCTCTTTCTTCCTCATTTATACTTTACATTTTCTTGTATGCCTGTCATGATAAGGATAGTTTTAAGGGACAGGATGAATTCTAACTAGCCTAGAGATAAATTCCTGAGAGAAACAGAAATACTCTTGAATTAGACATCTTCATTCTAGGTTTAAAAAAGTGATGTCTCCATTGCCAGCAGACTGCTGCTAACTGTGAAGCGTCCCTGCTTTGATTCTGGGTTGTGTGTGATTCATGCACAAGACTAAGTTATATGAAGTTGAAATCAAAGCAAGGGCTGGGTTAATTAGTGGCAATCTGCTGCTGTCTGTGACATCATTCCTGCTGCACACGTGACACAATGCAACAGGGTTTGGGTGAATTAAGAAAAAATATTTTGGATCTATTTTCACAATGTTCTATTTTCTTTCTCACTGACAAATGTCTCTGGTAGTTTTTGTTTTTGTCTGCTTGGATGTAGCAAAATCTGCTTTCTTCTAGTGATCTTCACTGAAGAGGCTTGTGGAAGTTTAGAGAGGCTCTGTGGCAACTGCTGTTAGAAGATCCCAAGACGCCAGTAAAAAAAAAATCTAGGTAAACTTTCATCTCACTGATGAGAGGAGCTCAGAGATAATATCAAAATATTTTGATCATGGGTGTGATATAAACCCGAAACAAAGAAGCTACTTCTGTCAGTGCTCAATCACACTAACTTCACTACAAAAAGTAGTTTAAATGGCACTTGAGCTAAATTAGGTCAATAAAAATCTGTCGAGAGCTCTCTTGTTATGTCTGTTTTAAGCAACATCTACAGAGTGGGAAAATTCTGGAATCACAGCAACCTGCTGATGACACTTCCTGTGAAAAAGGGACAGGTGGCTCTTGGAGCAGGGCAGGAGAGGGCCAGGTATGGTGCGGAAAAGATGCATTTAGGGAATGGGAGCCAGTGAAACAAATGGCGGGAGGGAGGGAGGGATGTGCAGAGGATTCTCACTGTTTAATCTTAGGAAGAATGTGAGGGGGCTATGTTGAGAGTTGCTTCCAATTCATGTCCTTGCCTGAAGCCAAGCACGGAGCTGTGGAAGCTACTTACCTGATAACTGCTGCACTGAAGGCTGGTCATGTGTGCTTAACAATTGTGCCTGAATGGTTTCTACTACCCTTTTAAAGCGACGGCTTGGACCTGTGAAAAGACACAACAGATTGTGAGATGGAGGAGAACCAGAGACTGCTGTGAGCTTAGTGTCTAGGAAGGAAGCAAGGAAAGTAGGAAGGGGCACCTTTCTTCAATTTTCCCACTCAGCATTGGGTCACCTTCAGATTTGTAGTCCTCAATTTTAAAACATTTCCAATTCCCTGCAGTTAATCATATCTTTTGTTTGTAGACTTCCTTCCGTCCCCAAGTCCACATCCACATTTTTTTCTCATTAGAATGCTACACAAGCCTGCACACTGCATTGTCACCTCCTTTCATCTCCTTCTCTCATTCCTATTTCTAGTCATCCTCGCATCCTGCTCCCTAGGCTTGGAATAACATCTACCACTCTACTCAGAAGATTGACTCTATTTTTCTCCTCTCCTTACTGTTTCTTCTGTTACTGCTGTCCTTTTTCTTCATCCTCATCTTATCAATGCCCCCCCCACTTTGCCCATCTGCCAAAAGTGGCAAGATTTGCTAAAAGGGGATATTTTGTATCCTAGATTCTAAGATAATATTAACATGATAAAAGATAAATACCAGCAGCACTAGATCAGCTACTTGTGGCTCTGCAGATGTTCTTGAATGCAACCCCCAATATTTTTCACCATTGTATTCTCGAAGGCTTTCATGGCCAGGATCCGATGGTTGCTGTGGGTTTTCCAGGCTGTTTGGCTGCGTTCTTAAGGTTTTTCTCTGTCTGTGCTCTGTTGCAGTTTGTTGAATATATATATAAAATGCAAATACTGTACAGCCTGCAAAAGGTCAACGAACTCTATCTAGCCACAAGGACCAGCAATCACTGCACACAAAAGACCAGCTAATGACACCCATAAATCACAGTGACAGATCATCTCTCCCCCTCATCACAATAATACACCCACAACAAAAACACGCTGATCACCCTAATCACCTAGTCTCCTGGAAAGGACAAAAGCTGTTCCCACTGCTGTAAATACTCAACTATCCAACAAACTGCAACAGAGCAAAGAGTTCTGACTCCTGTCCTCTGAAGATGCTGGCCACAGAGACTGGCAAAACATTAGGAAGAAAACCCTTAAGAACATGGCCAAACAGCCCGGAAAACCCACAACAACCATTTCTCACCATTGACCATGCTAGCTAAGGCTGATGAGAGTTACAATCCAACAACATTTGGAGGTCAACATGTTTCCCACAACTACCCTATATGATAAATATTACAGTTTTACATAGCTATATTTCCTTTCAAACTAGAACTTCCAGTTTCCTTTCCAAACCTGGAAACCTCCTTGAGCATACAAGCTTTGCTCCTATGACACCTGTTCCACGCTATGCCAACTTCGCTCAAGCTGAATCTTCCTTCCTTGCTTCCTTCCTTTTGCTCCCATCTAAATAAAAATATATATTCATAGCTTTTGCCTTCTTTTAAGGCAGGTCTGTCTGCATAACTTGTTGACCTATAAAGCTAAATACTCACTACTAGTCATCAATGCCAAGAGTGGATGTGCATGTGTGCGTGCATGTGCGCGCATGAGAGATTTAGAAGGATGTGGATTGATTTAAAGAAAAAGATAAGATTGTAAGGCCAGACACATCCATCTTTACAGGAGTAGAATTCAGATACAACTACCTTAACAAAAGCTAAAAAGTTATTTGTCTTCCTAAAATGAAGGACCACAATATTGTACCCTGCCCTCTGTATTTTGAGCACTGCCATTCATGGAATGTGGACTGCTAGTTGCCTGAAAACCTTCTATTTTACTTCTATAACTTTTCAATCTGCAAAATGGCCTAGCACCCTGAGTGGAGTGTCACTGCTCAGTTGGTCCTTGTGGGATTACTGTTGGCTGTGGTCCTGGTGTCCTCCATTGTTACTTCCTTCTTCCCTACTGTGTTTCCCCAAAAATAAGACAGGGTCTTATATTAATTTTTGCTCAAAAAATGCATTAGGGCTTATTTTTTTTGGGGGGGGGAGATTAATTTTACAGTCATATCATCTTCTGGTTGCTGCACAATGGTGGAGGGCAGGGTTTCACTTTAGGGCTTATTTTTTGGGGTAGGGTTTATATTATGAGCACCATGAAAAATCATACTAGCGCTTATTTTCAGGTTAGGTCTTATTTTCGGGAAACAGGGTACCTGCTTCTCCATCTCTATCTTGGATCCTTTTCTTTTTTGCCTTGATTTTTTGGGGTATTCTCCTCCATTTCTTTTTATTATTTTTGCTGCTGCTAGGCAGCTTGCCTGTTCCAATGTGCAACTATTTTCATCCCATGCCTCCCTCAAATTCTTTGGTGATCCCCTCCCTTTTCCCCACCCTTTTCTGGACTCAGAGAAAAGAAGGTATCAAGTAGAGAGAAATTCCCCATATTTTAGTAAAAAGGGGGCTTTGATTGGGTTCCCCCCTTTTCTCCTCCTTTATTTGCTTGCTTGCTCTTCTTGGTTTTTGGGAGAAGGGGATGTATGGTTTCTTTGTTTTTGTTCTTACTTTGCTATTTCTTTTTCTCTTTGTGTGTTGGAGAGTGTTTACCTCATCTGATGATTTTTAAAAAAATTCTTTTGTTGTTGATTTACTCTGTATTTATTCTCTTGAATGTGTATATTTTGGAAGGGTTTTCCAGGATTGTTTTGTTTACTTCTGTGGTAATGTGTAGGCCAGGACTGTGGACTATGCCGGTGTGCCACTGGGTTGTGTGGATGTTGTTGGCCAGATACAGCTTAGGGCATTTCTTGTGCTGGGTGTTACATTGTTGGTTGTTGCTTTGGTGAGTGGGTGTCTCTGTGTGCCAGGCAGCCAATGCCTGCCTTACTCTGTTGCCTTTTTTTCTATTGTGCTGCCCAAGTCTAGAAGGTCTGTTGTACTTGGTGAATGGCATTGAACTCATATTATTCTTTTGAGTGTGATAATATTGTATGACAATGTTCCCTCTAAGCCACATTGTCATACAGTATTATCACTCACAGTGTGTGAGTATACAACGATGCATCAGGCATGCACAACTAACCCAGTGTTTCCACTCATTTGCTTCTCATTGCAGCTGGAACTCTATATGCTGGGGATGGAGCCGCCACACAGCATTCCGAAAATTAGAGGGTATGTTGATGTATGAACCTGTGTGCGTAAGTCTGATGATGATTTTTCTTTTTCATGTACTATTGCCAATTTTTGGAGTAGATTGTTTCTCTGTTGCCTTGCCTTTGCTTTTTGGAGTAGTTTTAAAGGACTCTTTTTTTGTTTTGCTTTTGGAGTACCAGAAAACATGAATGGGGAAGCGTGAATGGGAAATCTGAAAGAGGATTTTCTTTTTTATGTAAAGTGAAATTACAGGGATGCAAGAAAAAGAAAAAGAAAAAGAAAAAAAAATCAAAATAAGCAATTCTACAGACACCCAAAAAACCAAATTGGAAACAAAAACAAAAAAGAGGCACCCTCCCAAAATGAAAGAAATACAAAAATGTTTGCTGTGCAGAATGCTAAAATTTATCATCGGTGTTAATCATTGTGATTGCCATTTTCTGTCTCACAATTCATTTGATCTCACTCCCATAACCATAACCAGCTTACATATAAACCAATGACTTGAATACTGTTCTCCATACATGTGAAACAGACTATTTTCACAGACATTCGCACTATACTAAACTTGTTAGTTTTAAAGGTGCCACCAGATTGCCTATTTTGTGGCAGGAAACTAAGACTACTTTCTTGGAAACTTCTATTTTTGCAATCGTAGGCAAGAAACGAAAAAGAGTAAACTGAGCCTTTATTAGAAACTGATTAATTGAGTCTTTATTGGATTATTCATACCAAGAGGCCAGTAATAGTTATGTTTAGCTTGGCACAACTCAGGGCATGCAGGACTGTTCTAAAAAGAATGGAGAAAGTACCACTGGGTCAAGTCAGGGGATTGCTTCAAGCAGCAGATTCATGAAAAGACAGTAAGTTATTACTTCAATGCCACTGGCTGGAATCCTATTGGCATTTGTATATGGTTTCTATAACATGACATAGCTAATTGACAAGATGCTGAGGCATGCCTCAGTTACACAACTGGGTGTTTCATCAGGTATGCAAGTCAGACATTGCCTGGAATGTTGTCCGTTAGCCATGGCAAATTAAGCAAACCTTACATGAACACCAATAGCAAACTGGCCATTCTATTTTTACCACTAGGGACGAGGAGAGGTATTTGCAGGATTTCCAGTCTTACATGCCAAAAGAACTTGCCTGGCTTTGACTACTATGCACCTTGGTCTGAGATGGGGACACATTTATGTTCCTCACCATCAGTAAAACAGCCTAAATTTTCCCTGTCCAGATTACTAGGCAGCATTTACACAGAAAAAAGCTGGTGGATGGACAAGTCTTACGCATATGTTGTTTGAACATTTCTGTACATAGGGCAGTCCTGCTATCTATAGACTAAGACGTTTACGCTTCCCTTCCTGAACATGGACAGAAAACTGGTGGTAGTTACCTGATAAAAGTGTGAAAGTGACTGAGTAGATCCCATTTTCTTTCTGTGCTTCCCCACCTTCTGTATATGTGATGTCCACTTGGAACTTCACTGGCTTCTGAAAGACAGCTGGGCCTCCTGTGGACTTGTACTCTGCACGGAAGCTTGTCTGTGAGATGACACTATGACTGAGACTAGGAATCTACATCAAAGAAAACAAGAAAAAGAGAAATAAAAATTGGAACCACTATAGACCCAGCGGAAGTATACCTATTTAAAAGCAAATTCCTTGCTAGGAGGACCAGTTTCTCCTTCCAAGAAAAGAGATTTTCACTTAAATTTGCAGAATATGGTAATGGTACTTCAGCTGAATCTCATTTATCTAGGCAGGAACTAGATGATTGCAGATAACACACAGTGAGCTTTTTACTGTGTGTTATCTGCAAACTGGAGTGAAACCATGTGAACCACACATCTGTTTCTAAGTGTGTATTTCATGTGACTTGATAGTAGTGGTCAAGTAGTATGTTGACAGCAGTGGTGGCAGCAGGGGAGTTCAATAATGACAACACTGCTGCCATACCACACACCCAACTGCTGCTGTCCCATTCCCTCCAGACAAGGCCAGCTGACCACAGAGGAAGCACTACTGTGATTTCAAATAGTGTGCACTTTTAAGTGGCTGTGGGGCTTTTGTCATGTGAAGTGATAAAAGTTGCTTTGTATTCCTCCATTTTTCCCCAAGTGTGTAGCTGTGACCCTAGTCTCCTTTCTTTAGTCTAAGAGTTAATACTGATGAGTCCATGTCCCCACCCACATCACGTTGCCATTTTACAGTCCTTTCGCTCTTAGCATTAAAAAGTGCTAATAAGAATATTGTGCAAATGCTAAAATGCATTTTGAACTTGTTTTGATTGATGATCAAGAAAGGACAATATTTATTTATTTATTTATCTGTTTGTTTGTTTATTTGATTTATATCCCGCCCATCTGGTATATTTATACCACTCTGAGCGGAACATTTTAAAATTAATAGTTCCTATGACGGAGATGGTATTGAAAGTATTTTCTATATGCCAGTTCCACCAGGCATGAAACAATCCATAATAGGTCCCTATTATTCCTGCCATATTACGCTGATGAGGACCTAAGGCTGAGAGACAGTAGCTCATGCTGTGAACTTCTCTGCCCCAGAGGTTTTCGAAAACTAATCCAGGTTCCAGTTCTATACAGACATACCTGAAGGAAGTTCCCTTGAATGCAACAAAAATTGCTTCTGAAGAACTTGACATGGAAATGGAACTGATTTCTGTTTTGCATTTACTTCTATGTTACATTTCTCAATTCTTGTTATGCTAAAAACTAATCCTTAAGGTTAATTAGTTCACTAATAAGACTCAAAATAGGAATCACTTTTGGCATCCAGAAATGAAAATGAAATAAACTACAAGTGGTGAGTGTGTGGATTAGAAACGGTCACCAACTACTGGTTCAGTGGTTTGTTTTGGTTCAGTGCTTCAAAGCCCCGCTTCATCTGGAAGGCACTCACTTGAAGGCAGTGGCCTGGCTTCCCTGCCTTGACTCCTCTGGGCACTGCCTCTGAGTGGGTGCCTGCTGGAGGAGGTAGGGCTTTGAAGTGCTGAACACCTGTCTGGCCAACAAACAAACTGGCACGAACTCCTGAAACAGTGGTTTGTGCCCATCTCTACTGTGGATGTGTGTGTAAGATACAATGGTTATAACATTCCGTGTCATTTTTCTTGGATTATGACTATAGCTGGATTTAGCAACTATTTTTTTCAGAGAACCTGGGAAATACACAAAAGAAGAAGATTTCTTTTTTAACTTTATTTCTTACAGATGTTCCACAGTCAGTTCTCTGTCTGATAGATTTGGGTAAGGAATGAATATATAAATTCAAAAAGAAAATTTGCTTCAAAAATGATCCAAGTTTAAGAACAAAGACACAAAGGTTACTTTCATAGTAACCATCTAATGTAGAACAGATGGTAGATTGGATCCTAGTTAGCCTTCCACAGATAAAAGGGCTCCTTCCTTCCACAGATGGATTTGATCCCAAGGGGGAGGGTGCCCTACCCCTAGAAGAGGAGAAGGGACAACTTTTCTAGCTCCCCCTCTCCCTACAGTTCTTCCTTGTGTTCCAATGGCTATCCAGCTGGAACAGATGTCTGGATTGGCAGAGGAAAAGTGATACAGGCATAAGTTGCTTCAACACTGTCCATCTGTCTGATCTTCTGCCACATCAAAAATTGTCTGTGGAATGAAGGAGCTCTTCTGGTTGCAGAACTATCATAGCACCATTGAGAGTGTCCTAACTTATGGCATTCTGGTATGGTTTGGGAGTAGCTCTGTAGTGGACAAAAATGCTCTACAGAGAACCATTAAAACTGCCTGTAATATCATCGAGCTCCAGCTATCAACCCTGGATGACATCTTCACATCCCGCTGTCTGAGGAAGTCACACAACATCCTGAGACTCTTCCCATCCTGCTTATAACTTTTTTGAACGCTGTCTGGCAAAAGATATA